ACGCACCCGCACGCACCCGCACGCACACGCACGCACACGCACGCACACGCACGCACACGCGCGCACACGCACGCACACGCACGCACACGCACGCACACGCACGCACACGCACGCACACGCACACACGCACACACACGCACCCTCCCTCCCTTGATTCATTCGTTTGTACTCATTCGCAACTTATCCACTCATTCGCACAATTCATCCCCTGATTCGGTCATTCAAGTACATACACAAATATGCAGATGCACATTTGCACATATTGCATGCATGCATACGTCCGTCTGTTGCTTGCTGTGCGTGAATTCTCGCCAGACCTCCGTTGAGTCTGCTGCGCACGCCCAGGATGCCACAGCCTACGGTCCCACCGGCGGATGGTACGATCGGAAGGACAAGCGAGAGCCAGTGATCTGGGAACTTACGAGACTTTTTTCGAATGTTGGGATGTGTGGGATGTAAGCCGGAGCTTCCCAGAGCTGCTGGCCGGCAGGTCTGGAACCCTCTCGCGTCTGCCCCATCCCTTCAAGAGAATGAGAATGAGAAGACGACGGTTGAAGGCTTTCCAACGACAGAGTGAGCAGTCCAGTTTATCACAAGTTGCTCGTTCTGTTCTTTCTGCGTTTTGCTCTCATAGATTACTGTACCACAACTGTACGTAACACAAAACACTGGCCTTGGTGGTCAGTTGTCGATGTGTCTTGTCTTGCTAGGATGCCACACACCCCTTCCGGAGCATCATTGATGCGACGCAGCTGCAGAGTATTCTGGTCAAGCCAAACCTACTCAGGTACAGAGTTTGGGGCTGGAGGCTTGCAGGTGTGCCAGCTTTCAGCTTGTGAGTTCCGTTTTTTCTGAAAGTTCTGCCCCCAAAGCCCCAAAGCAGCCTGGAAGTTGAGGTCTTGTACTTCGCCGCCATGGGGCCCCCAGGCTGGGCCATCGCAACTCAGCCTTCATGCCGTATCGTCAAAACCTCAGGCTGCTTGAACGAACCATCAACCCGCGCCTTCATCCTTCTCTTCACTCAGATCAGACACCCGGAAAGAAGTATCGCAACCTGGACCCCCTGGAGCCAGGTTTTCTTGATCATGTGCAGACACACGTTACAGTCGCCTGTTGCTTTTTAGTTCGTGCTGCAGGTGGTGGCCGCAACTTCATCACACCTCGGGCATTGGCCCCAGCTTTGCAGCGAGAGTGTGGGACACTCTCCCCTGTGAGTCAGACTGCCGAGTGGGACTTGACGGGACGCCCGTAGTCAAGTCTGGTCTTGTGCATCCCGCGCATGACCTTTCCTGTTTCCCCACTGCTTCAGATCGCCTCCTCCTTCATCCCGCCACCTGCTCCAGATCATCGGGCACATGTACCTTGTTGGCTTTCCACTGCTGGACGATGACAATATGATGCAACTTTGCCTGCAAGATGCGTACATGAACGATAACTTTTGCATGCCGGGGTTGACGATTATGATCACAAGGCTCTTTCCAGGATCTGCACCTCAAGTTCGGGGCTTGGTTATGCGACGAGGGCCCAAGAGGGGCCCATGAGGGCCCGCCCATAACTCCCATCAAGTTAGGCGGGCCCTCCCTGCGAGGGGTCATGGGTGGAAGCTTGATGCGCCGTCTCAACAGTCCTTTGTGGTGAAAGGACGCTCTACAACTGCAACGTGGTTCCAGATCAGCTCATGGCAGCAAAGGACAATCTCATTCCGAGCCTATGATTAATCACTGTATCGGCAATCGAAAGGAAACAAGCAGTGACGAAACAGTAGCAATACGATTGCAGGCTTACAAACCTACTAAGTCAAGTTCTTGGCACTGCTTGGCAACTATCAACAGACCTTCAAACATAAACTGAATGACCAAGGGCTTCAAAGTTATTGGATACATATTCGCAACTCGTGAGACAGTAATGGCGAATGAAGTCGGACAGAATCTTACTCAAATCCCTTCTGCTTCAGAGTAAGGAAGCAACGAATTTGCCTGCCAGCCAGTACCAAGTAGGTCAGAGTCCTGGATCGAGGCAGATCTTCAACACCATTCTGGAGTGGAAGTTCCGGGCCGGGCGGCATGTGCCATGTATCGGCAAGCGACGGTTCAGGGGCTGTGGAGGTTCGAAGACGTTTGGAGCTACTTTTGCTGGCATGTCAGAAGTCCTTCCAAGTTTGGAGCTCTACTAGTACCGCTAAGCGTCTTGAGGAAAGGCTTCCCCGGGTCCACCCTAACACGAACGGCTCTTCTCGTCGGGGCTACAATGCGATGATCCCCGGAGTCAAAGTTCTCTCCAGAAAGCGCAGTGTGCACATCCGTCTGAGTTGTGCTCAGACGGACAACTACCCCGCTGATGTGGCCGGGCTCAGCAAGAAGATGGTCCAAGCCACCCTAGAGATCTACAAGAACACGCCCGGCCCCCAGCCGAAAGCGGTTCGGCCGACGTTCGCTTTGCAGCTACTAACTGGGATCCAATGCATTGATCCTGCACCATTCTGCCATCCCCTTGAGACGGACTCCGACAAGTGCTCCTCATTGGCTGGATGCTGTGTCAGGTCCAACGAGCTCCGCCCAACCCCGATGAAGGCCAGGAAGGAGCATTGCGAGCAGGATTGACAGAACACAGAAGTCGGTCGAAGAGTAACTTTGCGAGATGTTTCAATTCACAACCTGCAGCCCGACCAGGTGCACTACACCTTCAACTTGCGCGACTTCTCAAAGGTCATTTCTGGCGCCGGAGCCTTGCACTGCCATGACAGAACTGGGCCCGGTGATTTATGAATGGCTTGGAAATGGCATTACATCAAAAGAAGAGTTGAGGGCATGCGGGGCGCAGGTCCTCCTCCTGAAGAAGAACGAGTGCGAAGGCATACGCCTGTTTGGGCTCGGGCTTTAAGGGTTCGGGGTTGAGGTTTGGTCTGTGGGTTGGGCATCTAAAGTTCAGGGTCTTGATTCCAACGTCCCTAAAATGAACAGCTCAAACTCCCTGCGGACATGCCCTATGCCACGTCGCAGCCTTGTTTTGACCTCTTGAAGAATCAACCTGCCGGGTGAATACGGCCATCGTCAACGTGCATCCATCGCAACATATCGCAACCTGTCTGGAGGCAGTGTATCAACTTAGTGCTGCCAGTTCAGCCAAGAGTCGCACCCTGCTCTGCTGCGTAGGTCCAGATCGCCATGTTCGTCTTTGGGCTCACGCCTCTAGTCTGACTCCGTTGTGATTCAGACCGTGATCCCAACATTTTCCAGAACACGCCCTCGTCGTGAAATTTGCAGATCTTGACAGGTTCACAGGCTCTCGCTTCCTAACCTGGCCGACTCTTTCGCCCATGATCAGTGGTGCGGGCTTTGGATACCAGTGTAGCAGCTTAGGAGATTCTGCGTGTGTTTGGTGACCGGCTGATCGACGACAACGACCGGGAGTGGATGTTGCCGGCCCCTGAGCAATTCAGGAAGGGATCAACTCGGAGTCTTGCAGCAAATGGCTGGTTTTGCTGTTATCCGTCTAAGACCCTGTGCAGCATTATAGTTGTAATCATATCAGAATCGCAGTCTTAGGGTGGTGGCGATGTTCATCAACAAGGATGCTGAAGGTTTTCTGCCTTGAGCAGTGCTACATTCTACATCGTAGCTGGAAGCCGCAAGGCTGCAGCTTCGAGAACAGACGAAGAAGAACTTCCAGGCTCGCAGTGGAGGGAGCTGTGTTCGACATTGAGGTGCTTGCAGTTTCAAGACTTTTCGTCAGATGCAACAGCTCGCGGAATGCATGTGCAGCAACATGGCAATGATGTGTCATCAAGGATGGCATGCTCACGGGCGGCTGTTGAAAGACTGTCTCGACGCGCCTCGCCTCTCAGATCAACCCCATGTTGCTGAGGGGACTTCCAAGGCACGCACCCTCAGACTCAGTTACTGCACCCATCCGCAGAACAGTCGGCCCGCGATAGTTGCCAAAGCCATGAGACATCCAAGCGAGATTCTAATTGAATCCTCGGTCGTCTCCTTGTCTCTGTCGCCATGGCCACGAACTTCTGGGCGACTGGCAGGCCTGGGGTGCCAGTCAAATCACTTCCCTGGTAGTTCTTCTGAGGAACGCACTGATCAGGAAGCGCTCGGGAAGAATTCACGCCCAAAATCTTGGATTCCGAACATTGCTCAAGCCATTTAAAGCTGGTAGGCACTCGCGCAGGGCCAGGGAGGGGTCCACAAGTCCCAAGTTTTTTGTTTCAGACATTCAATGTTTTGTGAGACTTTCTTCAGCATCTTGCTTCGGCGATTGGGGTGTTCGATTTTCCTCCGTGGATTTCCAATGGCTCCCACCATGGNNGGATGCTGCTGCTGGGGATATGCTCGGTCCAGGCCGACATGTACCTGAACAACCCTCGTGGCTCCAACAACAAGCTGCGCGAGCAGAGCAACAACGTGCAGAACGCCAATCGTCTCTTCGACTCTCAGAACAACGCCGCTTCTGGATATCAAATCGGAGATGACTGCAAGCCCGCCTGCAAGGACGGGAACAACAACTACGATGTGACTAAGGAGGGTGCTACAAAAGGGACCATGAAGTTCTATCAAGACTCCGAGCTGTATATCGAATGGCATCACCAGCACGGCTGTGGCGCTGGCCACCCGAACCTGAAGTGCCAGATAATCCTGCAGTATATGAATGAAGACGAGAATCGCAATCTTCGCGATGGCACAGGCCAAGACACTGCCGGTGGCGATGACAACGATCCCACCGAGGAGGGGACCGCAGAGACTGCGCGAGGATACCACGAACCCTTGGACTTCTACCAGGCTTGCATTGCGCGCGAGCGCAACAAGGGCCTCTACACTGCCGACAGGCAGATAGAGGAAAATGGTGGAGCGACCTCTACGCGGCAGAATCCGAACGGCAACGGCCGTCGCCGTGGGCAACAGCGCCACGGCCTGGAATGTCCTGAGGAGCGGGACTATTATCCGTATTGGCATCCCACGCCTTGGCACGATATTGCCGTGCTCACGGATGAGCCACAGGCCAGATGCGAGTATTATCGCGCGGAGTCCCAAAATGTCAAGGCCAAGGGTTCCTGCTCTGTCGCGGCGCACAACAATGCAGACGCCTGCATTGCCAACGATGGGCAGTGGACAGAGCAAGATCCTTGGCAGGAACCACCACCAGAATGCACTGGCGGCATCCAGAGCCGCGACAACCACAACGGAAATGCGAGAAATGGGCAGCCGAACTATTACCTCTGGAAGATCCCAAAGCATGTGAAAGGCCGCACGGTTCTGCGCATCCGGTACAACATCTCGCAAGGAGACTTCAACTACGGCTCTTTGGCAAATCCAAAGGTCGAGGGCACGGAGCTCACAGGTCGCTTGGCCGACTTCTTCTTCATGGACTCGAGTTTCAACGATCCCCAACCGAACAACCGACGTCGAAGTATCTTCAAGGGACGCCCCAGCGTGCCGATTCCTCTGGCCACAAACCCAGTAGCGGATTGGCTGAACC